AGACCATGTTAGGAAAGACGCGCTCATTACCCAGCATTAGCCCCTTTCCGCCTACATTCCACACCGCCGGCCACTAGAAAGGTGCCAGTGAGATCTCCAGTCCCTCACAAATCTCTCCAAGTCCAGAACAAACATACATTCCATCCACTCCTCCACCACAAAGTTGGCCCTCAAACACCCCTACAATCCCGGAATCGCCTCCTCTCAACTTCCAGCCTAAGCCCACGCTCACCACGCGCCACAACTCACCATCTTGGAAGCGAGGACCCGAGAAAAGGTCCGGCTTCCGCTCAGGCTCTCTTATATAGCGCGAGATCCCTACACTCACACCGGAAGAATCCTCACTTGACGAACGCCAAGAACGGCAATTCGCTTTACTTAAATTTCCTGTTACTCAGCGTTTTCGCTGATATCTTGGGGAAAAAAGTGTTTCTCGAGTTTATTTATCGGTGGAACAAAGTGACCATGGGACTATTTTTCCTGATGGCGGAAGAAAATGAAATACGTTGCCGAGCAAGCATCGCGACACCCTACCCGGACGTAATTCTGGGCTTTATAATTACTCGACTTTTGAGACGCTAGGCACGGAAGTTGTCGGACGTAAGATCACAAATCGCGCTCCCAATTAGAGGCCAGAGTGGAAGAGATGCATGCTGGGAGTTGTAGTGCGAAGCTAACAGGCCCTTGAGCTCCAAGCAGTTAGATCCCTGACGATGCTACGCCACAGGGGGACGCTCTCCTCTCGCTTCTGTGACAGTCCTGCTACTTGGCGTAGGCTTGAGAAACGGAGGACCTGGGGGAAAGAAAACATTTTATTAATTCCTCCTTCCAGTACGGAGAAAAACCACAATGAGAGGCCACGGACAACTGCAGTGGTGTTGGGTCTGTTTCTCATTTGCCTTTTTATCCCTGGATCCTATTAGCACAGTGCCAGGCACTATAGTAAACGCTTTATAAATATTAATTCATGTAATTAACCCTTAAGAAAGTCTGTAAGGTAGGTACTATTATTATCTTCACTTTACAGGTTGAAAAACTGAGGAGTACTGTGGAGAGGTTAAAACTAAGGTTGCCCAAAGTCTCACAGAGCTAGTAAGAGGTATTCTGGCTTCACTATGCTGAGCTGCCTCTCACCCAGCAAACAAATGGATGGAGGTATATAACCTGGCCCAGTGACTTAAATAATTTTGACTCAGACTCATAGTAGAAATATATTGTATGTGGCACTAAATACTTACACAAGCACAGATACACACACATACAAACTGAAACAAACTTCATGAAACAATACTTACCTGTATAACGAAAGGTGCATTGGCATTTTCAATTTTCTATTTTATTTTAATAAATGCTGATCAAGCCCCATAAAGTGATTTCACCACTCATTGTTGGCCCCCAAATAAAATGCACTTTCTTACATATACACTCCATTTTCCTCTAAAGAGCCTTGAGAAAATCTTTTTTAGGCTTGAGCAGGAGTGGCTATCCATGGACAGCCAATCACCCAGTTGTCTCTAAACTGAAGAAACTAAGTGTGAAGGGGACCTCCAAGCATTCATACCCAAGATGATATAGATAAAGACCAACTGTTTAGTCATTCATGAATCATTCTGGAGTCTGAATACACCACATTTGCTTTCCCTCCAACAACCCATCATGATTTCTTCTAACCTGCACCCTATTTAATTGGGGTTAAAGTTTATTTTCCAACTTTTGATTTGGCTTCAAACAACTATATTCACATTTTGAATTTTATAGTTTCAATGTAGAATGGAAAGGCCCTGGCCGGGTGAGGCCATGTGAGGCCCTGGCCTCAGCTGATTAGAGCATGATACAGACACACCGAGGTTGTGGGTTCAACCCCGGATCAGGGCACATACAAGAATTAATACATTCATAAATAAGTGAAACAACAAATCAATGTTTCTAAAATCAATAAATTTAAAAAATTAAAAAAATGGGGAATGGAAATGAGACTCTAGATGGAAGTGTCTCCAATTTTCACTTGAATATAGTCTCATGGAAACAGGAAGGCAGACATTATTACCATATGGAATGACAGTGAGGTAGATGGAACAGAAGAAGGTTCAGAGTGAAAGGGACAGAAAATAGTTAATATGTATTTAAGACAGAACCAAATTAATGTGCTTATCTTGGCTTTTCTTGGGATTTTTAGAGTCTAGAGTTCTACCAGTTTCATTCCCTGGCATAAAGGCATGGGAACAGACTTTGGAGTCACAGGCCTTTGGGGTTCAAGTCCAGGTTCTGTCACTTACTGGTTGATGAGTCTTGGACTTTTATTTCTTCAATAGTAATGGTGATCATGTCTTTGTAGGTTGCTTCTGCAATTAAACATTTGGCACAGTGCATGGCATTTATGAGTGCTCAAGAAGAGTTAGACCCTGTTATTATCATCATCCGTTATTGTAATTTGTGTCCCTTGGGCATATAAATATGTTTTGCATCTAGTAGGTTCTCAACAAGAAATGTTTGGTAAATTTCTGCTTTGTTTGGATGGATACGTGCATTGGTTTCTCTCCTATCCTACAGGCATTCCTGGGAGGAAAATCTCTTCCATTTCCCATTCTAGGTTGAAACTTCTTCTGTTCTTCTGCAGTAACAGTTTGAGTATTCTTGTTTGGTATCCTCTCAACCTTAGACTTGTTCACCTTCAAAATGTTTAGTAGTTAGTAACATACGCTGCAAGGAGACCAACCCCCCCTTCCAATAGAAAAGCAAAGCAAAGGAAATTTGCAAAAACAACCAGGGCTGTTAAATTACTCATGTTTATTTATAACAGACCTTCAGCCAGTACAGTACAAAACTTACAGTAGTATATCTCCGTTACACAAATATTTACTTACAATATATTACATATACAAAATGTTTTGCAATAGGTCTCAAAAGCTAGTTTAACTCCCCTTGAGAAAGGAGAAAAACTCTTTTAAAAATAAAAGGGGGAGGGGGAACCAGAGGAAGAGGAGGAGGGGGAGGTTAAGAATAAAGTCCAAGGAGACACCAAGCATAGGCTACAAATGAAACCCTGGGAGAAAAAGAGAAGAGAGGTGGTATTGCACTTGTGTCTGTGGTTTTTGTTTTTTGTTCTTCATAATTTCTGATTAAAAATATATATAATATATATATTATTTACACAAGGACAGAAGCTGCTAGAAGTATTACAAAAACTCACCTGCAGCTTGGACACTGACACAAAAAAAAAACAAATGTCTGGAAAAGTGTCTATTTAGAAATTTTTTGTGTGTGGTGTTGATTTTGAATATCAATACAAAAGGAAAACACCTCTTTTCTCCATGTGGGTTTCGATGCATTTTTTTCTTAAAAAAAAAATTTTTTTTATGCAAAAGGATTGGGAGAGAGAGCATGAGGGTGTTTGAGGTTCCAGAGCCGAAAGGCTCTTGAAAGTAGGATTTTGTACCTAAGACCCTGGTTAAAGTGCAGTGATGGTCTGGAGAGAGACAGAGTGCCCTTCTCTCCCCTTCTTAGCACCTGGTCTTGCCTTCCAGTCTCTGCTCTCATGGGCTCAGAGTACAGCCTCAGAGCATAGTCCTTCATGTTCTAGGAGGTTACAGGTGCCAAAGCTGACCGAGGGAGGGGATGGTGGCACCCTAAGGCTCTGATACCTCAGAAAGGACTAGTCCTTATGAGGTGTCACCAAATACACAGCAGACGCAGAAAAGATGGTAGGGGGTAGGTCAAACAGGAAGGGGTTCAATAGTCAAAGCAGTTGAGGAGAACCCCAGGTATTAACCTCAGCATTGCTGCCATTCTGAAACAAGGAGCCGGTTCCCCAGGTTGCTGTTGAGAAAACTCTCTCCTGCTCTGGAGACCACTCTCCTCCCAGCTAACTCCCCCATCCTTTGCCCTTGGCAGCATCTGTTTATTGCTACATTGTCAAGGAGGAAAAAAAATCAGCCCACAATGCACCCCCACCCCCAACGATCTGGTTCTCTTGGGGAGACCATGGTAATGGGGGAGGAAAAGGAGGAAGAAAAGTTTTTTTAGGGTCTCACTTCCCATAAGAGGGTAAGGTAGACTCATGTTAGAGCCCTTAAGAGCTCCAATCCCAGGGTCTGTTCCTTATTCAACCCTTGACCATCCCCTTAAATTATCCCTGATAGGGAGCGAGAAAAGTAGGAGGCAAAAGAGCCAGTAAAGAAAGGACATGTGGAAAGAAAGATGGGAAGAGAAAGGAAAGAGAAGGACCAAGTGTTACAACTTGTGAGGTGTTGTGTTTGGTTTTTTACTTTTTTTCCTTTAAATATAGAAAAACAGCCTTTGGTTTGAATCTCAAGAAAGCAGAGAATGGGATGGCTGTGGCCGTGGGCAGAGAACCCTTGTAGAAAGAGGCCTCCACTTGTAGTGGAGCTGTATCTCCTCCTGCCCCCTTCTCACTAGCTAGGTTACCCAAATAGCCAGGGGTCTCTGCAGAAGCCAGGAGAGTGCCCCCTCCTCCTCTACATTTGGGAGCTGAGTGTAGAAGGGGGCAGTAACGGATGACCCCCCTTTCAGTTGTGCCCCTCCCATTCTTGCTGGGACAAGAGTGGAATGGGGTGAGGGGTACATGCCTCTGTTCATCCTGGGGTAATTTTTGGTTATACTGAAAATTAGAAGAGAGAAAAGAGACACCCTTTTCTTCCGAAGAAGGTGAATCCTGCTTAGGGGGGGAGAAGAAGAAGGCAGCATGACTGAGGGGGAGATACCCCCCTCGTCATCAGGCAGCAACCCACTAGTTTCTCCTAGGAGGGGGACTGCAGGAGTCCCTGAGCACCTAGGAAGGTCACTAGAGTGGAGAAGTTTGAGAGGTGGAAGAGTACGAGAAGAATTTTGACTCACCCCTTCCCATGCCCTGGTTCCCAATTAGGCACCTGTGGCTCCCAATGTGTCAGAGACAGAGGACTGCAGACCTAGCCTTGGCCCCTGAGAATATAAAATTGGGGCACTCCAAGGAGAGAACAGCTACCACTGAGTAGACTGGCAGGCTGAAGAGAGTAGAGCAGTGTTGGGGGTTGTTCAAGAAGTGGGAAGAGCTATATCATCACATCCTAGAGGGAGATCCTGAACGTGGGCTTCGGGGAACTCATGTTACTAGGAGGATGTCAAGAGGACTCTCAGTCCCACGACGGGAGAAGTTCATCAGCCCCTCCTACTTCCAAATGAGGCAATTCTTCCTTTGTTCAAGAAAAGTGCAAGCTGCCTAATGTGAGAGGGCACAAGAGGTATGGAGTACCAGGATGAAGGGTCCCGGCGAGGAGATATAATGCCACAGAGCTAAGGTAGGGCCAGGCCAGAGGGAGCTATCAGCATCAAAATTGAAGAATCACATAATGCAAAAGGTGAGGACTTAAAGCGAGAAGCTCAAGGTCTCCTAGTACTAAGAGGAGCTTCCCGCCAAAAGTGGAAAGGACTGCGGGCAGGAGCGTGGGGGAGTGGGAAGTGACATAAGTTAAAAAAAAAAACACTAATTATATTAATAAATAACTCAGTGAGTATGATGGGGTAAGAGGGTAAAAGAAAAAGGGGAAACGTAAGAAAAGACCTGTTTCATCGCAATGTTTAAATCAGGGTGGGAGAGGATAGGTAAGAAGGGTTCAGGGTCAAATGCGAAGTTAGGTAGCCAGTGGAGGGGGCTACACAGCAAAACTCCTTGGGATGTGGTGGGGACAGAGCTAGACTCCCGCGGGTTGGGCAGTGGAGTGGTGGACTGAGGTGAGGGCAGGGGGTTGCTAGCCCACCTTGTGCTCACCCCGGACAATGTGGGAAGAGAATTCGTACCGGTCCTGGCTGTGGTAACCACAGATGTTGCACTCAAAAGGGTCTCTGAAGCCATGGCAGCCCATGTGGATAGTGAACATGACATGGTCCAGGAAGAGGATCCGGCAGTGCTCACACTTGAAGGCCTTCACGGGCTCTCCGCTCTCGCCCACCACCCGAAGCACTTCCTTGGAGGGGCCTGGAGTGCCCCGCAGTAACCCCTCCTGTGGCTTGGGGTCCTCTTTGGCGTAGGCAGGACTGGGCCGGCCCACCACAATGGTGGGAGGTGGCTGGGGTGGGGGACCCTGAGGGAGGGATACCACCCCCCCAACCCGATCTTCGTGGTTGCTCTCTGTATCTGTGGAGTCTTGGCAGCCATTGCTGGGGGATGCCCCAGGGTCAGTAAGGGGGCCTCGAGCCCGGTAGAGGAGGGGACCTCCATCAGCCAGGTCCTCGGGTCCCTCACCTGCTTCTCGGGATCCTGGAAGCTCCAGCCGACCAGGGAGGGGCTGCATCTGGGTGTAGACAGAGCTGATGACGGGCGTGAGTTCTGAGATGCAATTGGTAGGTGGAAGGCGGAGGGGACGCAGATGCTCTGCCCCCACAAAGGCCAGAGAACCTCCAAAGCCAGGCTCCAGGCCGTGATGTGCCACCAACTCCACATCCTTCTCATAGCCACCCGAATTCACATCATAGGGGAGGTCTGAGAGGCTGAAGCGCATCTGCTTCTCGCCTGTGGAGAAGAGGCTCTCAGCAGACCTGGGTTTGGAGAATGCCTAAGCTCCCAGGATTATTTCTTTGTTTTCTTACCCTTGAGGATGGCGGTAACATTATTTACCACTCTTCATTTACTTTCCTCAAAGTTAGGTCCCTTGTGGGGCCGCTCCCCAATTCTATGCTGTAATCTCAGAGGACTCAATCCCAGGCCACTGATCTTTACTTCTCTTTCATTACTCTCTTATAAAGTTCCACGTCCTTACAGAGCTAATGACCAGGGCCAGGTGGGATCCCCATACTTGCTCCTCCTTCTGACTCTAGGGGCCTTTATCTCAGCCCATAGACTGAAGTCCTAGCTATTCTCAAAGACTGGGAACAGCCAGAGTCCCCTGACATCCTTTTCTTAGAACCACCACATGAGCCCTCAATACTGACCCCTCGCCCCCCTCTTGAGGTACTTCCTTCCTCTTCACTCTGCTCCTGTTCTGGGGATAGATTCTGAGGACCAGATCGCTTTCTTTCCTTCAATCAAATCTCTAGACCTAACTGGTCTAATGGCTATCAGAGCTCAGATACAGATGAGCTGTGGCCTAAAGCTGATATCTCCTCTACAACTGGACTCTTACCTACAAACTTCTGGGGGGTGGAACGCTTGCGTTTGGTGAGGCTGTTGGCCAGACGATCAATGAAAGTTGGCCTCTCAGAGGATGAGTGCAGCATAGAGTCTGGCACCATCTCCAGGTCACGTATCTCATCACCTAGTGGGGGGTGGGGTGGGGATAGGTAGTAGCAGCTGAGCAGGGGTAGCACTGGCCCAGCAGCCTTCACCTGGAGAAAACCAGCAGGTCAGTAGCCAAGGGAGGTCATAGCTGATGCTTGGGAAATTAGGTTCTGCTTCCCTCACCCTATCTAGAGCTCATCCCAGCAACATGTCACATAATTTGGGACAAATACACATCTGGCCCTTAATTTTACACTTCTTGTGTGCTCTCCCACTAGACTGAGGACATAGATCAAATCCTCTCCTACCTCTGGGTCTCCCTGCAGCACCTACCGGGGTCTCTGCACTAACTGGGTTGCTCGGCACATTTACTGAGGTAACTGTCCTTTTTCCATGGCCCTCTCCCCTTGTGCACACAATCACCCTTACCCTGTACTCCCTCTGGCCCTGCCCTCAGCTCCCTCTGGTCCTGCCCACAGCCCACCTGGTTGGCCAGCCAGAGCTTGGGCTTCAGTGCTGAGACTCTGCAGGTAGTTGTGACACCGCTCCTTGTGCTCCTCCAGGGTACTCTGCTGTTTGTAGCTGCGGCCACAGTAGTTACACTTGTAGGGCTTGCCCACCGTGGGAGAGGAGACTGTGGAGGAGAGAGGAAAGAAATAGCATCAAAGTTACTTCTCCCTGTGCCCTGGTTCTACAAAATCACCCAGGAGCAAAGGTAGTCTGGCCTGAGGAGGAAGGGATGTGGCTCGGTTGAATTCTTCTACTTGTCTTCCCCTCCCCAACTTCAGCTGCAAGCATGGACAGATGGCCAAACCTTGGAGAAGAGGCACATTGGGCAGCTATGGGAGGGGAGAGGAAGCTCAGGGCATATAGTTGGATGCTGGCGGGACTCAAAATGGCCAAACTGCTGCTCAAAGGAAAGAAGGACCCAGGGACTTTGTGGGGGATCATCCCTGGCAGGCAGGCTGGCCCCACCCCAGGATCTCAGAGTCTGAGGCCCACACTGTGGTTTAACCTTTCCATGTGGCAGGTTTTGTCACTGTTGTTTATCAGACAAGGGGATTTTTTTGCTTATGAACTATCTGCTTTGGTTTGGGGGAAACTGGTGGGCTGGGGTGACAGAAATGAGAGCCTTTAGATCTGATGTGGGGAGGGGCAGTTTTCACTGACCTTTACTTATACTTTTTTACCTCTACTTCTAGCCCAGTTTTACTGCTTATTATTCTTTCTGTCTTTCTACACTGAAATACGGAGAGAACCCCAGAAAAACCATCAACTGATACAGAAGTTCTGAGAAAAGGAAAAGAATAAAAGAACAGAAAGGAAAACAATGGAGAAGAGTGTAAAAGGAGAACAACTTTGGAGGGCTTTTTTTTTTCTTTTCTTTTTTAAAGAACAGGTTATAAAGATTTTGTTTCTGGTGAAGAAAAAAGGTCGGGAAAACTGAGATCGATACTTCCTATAACGGCAACTGTTGAGAGATGATATTTGTGAGGACAGAAAAAAGTACAAGAAATAAGGTATTGTATATTTCAACTTATGTATCTTGCTTCTGAGCAGGGAGACAGGAGACGGTATCACCAGGAAGCCCTCCTCCCATCGTGTGCCTACACTGGAACTTGATTCAATCAGTCTACTCACATCTTGTTCTTGCTCAGTACTTGAGGGATGAGATTAAAGCCACAGTCCCGACCCCCTCCCGCCCGCCGCCGACTTCAGGACTCTTGGGCAAATGGTTTAACTTCAGAGAGGAAACCCTTTTTTTCTTATAATGTAGGTTGTGATAGAAAGCATTTCACAAATATGGGACCCAACAGTATATCTGTGTCTTCTTCTGGCTCTAATACTCTCCTATAAAACATCCAAAATCTACCTCCACCCCCGCCCAGCTGTTGTTGGTAAGAATTCCAGGGGCCAGGCCATCCTTATTCCAAACCAGCAGGGGAAGCTGCCCCTTTTCCTCAGAAAAGGAGCAAGAGTCTCTGGCACGGGACCTTGATGAAGTTTCGGTAAGGCTACAGAAAGGATAGCTCCTGACGGGCAAATCTTTTTTCTTTTTCCAGAGCTTCGGTTTCTTGTCAGCAAAATGAGGATAATACCATCTACCTTGGAATTGTTATGAGAATCACATAAGGAGACACAAGTGAAATGCTTCGTAAATTATAAAGCATGAATCAACGATGATCTTTCTCCCTGTTGTTTTTCCATATACAAAAAGATAAAGAGGTCCCAGCTCCAAGGTGAGGGAACCTAGAGCAAGGTATGTGGCTGAAAAACATAGAGGGTGGTGAGGTGATTGCTCTGTCCCTTTAAATCCTGGCCTCTGAGGGTTTAGGAAAAGAGAAAAATAGCAAGGAAAGTTTCCAAGGACAGACCCTACTAATTCTTTCCCCACTGCCCTCCTTCCCCTTTTCCCCAATCCTGAGCTCCTGCCTTCCTGCCAGCTCAGCTTCTGGCCCTTCCCCAAGTCCAAGCCAAAAGCTTAAAACTTAGTAAAATGCTTCAGAAGTGCTATCTGACCAGCTGATTGAGGCAGATGTTGATTCAGTCTTGGCTGGGCTAGAAAATCGAGTTAGTCCAGTTCCTTGGCACTATTGCAAACACTGAGCTCCAGGCGCTTGCTCTTGCTCCTGATAAGGTGACAACCTCTTGGAATGAGGACTAGAAAATGGGATAATCCTTTCCTAGGCTTCCTTTCTTCCATTTTGGGAAGCCCGTGGATATTTTCAGGAAACAGAAGTAAGTAGAGGAGAGGATGGACCTCTGATGTTGGGGGCGGGGGGATGTGAAGATGGTGACAAGCTTGGGGCCTGGGGTAGACAAGTGGAAGGAGGGGTCACCCTGAAGCTCACAAGTGAGGGATCATGAGGTACAAGGAGCATAGGGTGACTGTTAGGAGCCAAGAACATCGCCTGTGCTCCTTTTGCTCCATGTTACAGAGTGTGGCAGACGTAAAAGACTTCATTAAAGAGTCTCCCAAATTTTCTATGGGGCCTGCTGCCCAGAGAAGAGGTTACAGAGGCAGGGCCCTACCTGCTCTGGGAGTGCTCTGCCCTCCTCAGTGAGGACACTGTAAACCGCCAGATACAAGAGAAGTTGCTGGGCTCTGTTTATTGGATGTACTGCTGTCCCACTTCCCCCTCTCCCACTGGAAAGGTCACTGACCCGAGTGTGTCCGAAGGTGGCCAGTGAGTGCATCACGCCGGCGGCAGGCGTAGTTGCAGAAGGGACATTTGAAGGGCTTCTCTCCAGAGTGCAGCTTGATGTGGCGCAGCAGGTTCCCCTTCTGAGTGAAGGAGGCACCGCACTGGTTGCAGTGGAAGGGCCTTTCGCCTGCAAGCCAAAGGACAGATTCCCAGGACTGGGTGTGAGGGGCTTTGAGGGCCAGACCCGGTCCCTGCCCTCTGCCCCACACTGCCTTCAGGAAGGCGCTCAGAACAACTTCTGAGAGGCAGGGCTCAAACAAATCCTGCTTAATCCAGATCCCCTGGCAAGGTACGGATTAGGGGTGCATGGCAGGGAGAAGGGCGCTAGGCCTGGAACACTGGGCCAAACGACCATATTCCAAAACCAAGCCCCGTAGGGCTCTCCCTGCCCCAGGAGCCCAAAGCCCAAGGGAGCTGAGAAGCAGCTTCTGTAGTCGTATTTTTTTCTTCTTCTTTTTAATTCATGAGATGGGAGGGTCCAGATAATACCCATGAGTCCTAATCCTGTTGGGTATAGGATCCTTCTTGAGACTACAACACCTTCCCCTCTCTCACTTCCCAAGGAAAGTATCAGTTTTTCTTTATAACAACAGTCGAAGAAAGTGCCAGGGACGTACAGGTATTCAGGGAGTCTAAATTCCAACCCCTCCTTTTCTTTCCTCGGCTAGAAAATGTGCCGGGAGAGTCCCTCCCTTTGGGAAGCTACCCCGCCCCAGCCACGGCCCCCAGCACGGCCTCCGCCTCTCCAGCCCGACCAGGAGTTCCCCACTGGCCCCCTGGCTTGCTCACCTGTGTGACTGCGTTTGTGCACCATGAGCACATTGGGTCCAATGCAGACCATGCCACAGACGTCACATTTGAGCTTGCCATTGGGCAGCCGGATGCCACCAGGGGAGTGAGGCTCTGGCCCGCTTCCATCACAGTAGCCCAGGGGCTCCGACAATGAGTCTTCCACGATCACACTATCATCCTTTTCCAGGAGCCGCTCATCAGGCCCCAGCAGCCTGCTCGACTCCTCATCGCTGTACATCTCCACCTTGATGGAGTTGGCTGGAGGGCGGGATGGTGTTTAGGACAGAGAAGGGCAAAGGGGAGAGCCTGCCCCCGGGCCGGGATGGCACTCCTGAAGTCCAAGAGGAGTCTCTAAGCCCTGAGACATTAGGACACCTATCAGGGTGGCCTGCTGGGACCTGAAACAACCTTTTCCTCCTCTCCCACCAATGAGGCACATAGGCTTCAAGAGAAAAAAGGTGGGGTACACAGGATGTCTTCTGTCACTGGGGAGAAGACGCTAAGGGGAGCTTAGTTCTCTACTCTCTTGTCGTTAAGAAAGATGTCTGACTTGGCCCTGGGCAGAAAGCCAGCAAGTAGCAGTGATAGGAAAGCGGTCCTAGGAAGACCGAAGAGACAGGCTAAAGAGAGCAAACCTGGAAGACAGACACGGCTTATGTTATCCTACCACCCCATAAGACTGAGCCCCTCTACTCCCCTCCATAAAGATCTGGAGAGGGGCATGGAGGAGGGAGGAGCCATTGAGGAGAAAGCTTTGGCTCTAGCTCTGACCTACATTCCTGGCTATTCCAACCATTTAGAGAATGTCACAGATCTAGGGCCAGCTGAGGAGAGGCAGTCATGGGGACCTTGTCTGGGTAGGAGAATTGGCGGGGGGGGGGGGGAATGAGGAGATCCTTCTCATTTCTATTTCCTATCTAATTCCAGCTCATGACCATTTCTATCCACCTGCTACTCTACCTCCAGGCTGTGTCTTTGGGGCCTTTACCTTAACGCCACCCATGCCTCTTTTAATTCCAATCTAGTCTGTCAGTGACCGTCCATTCTCCTTTTGCAAGTCAGGAAAATCTTAGACACTGAGCTCCTTAGTGCTCTTGGAGACCGAACAGGAAAGTAGAGGGAGGCAGCAATGGGGAAATGGCTGCCAATGGAAGATGAATCAAGGGACAAACACAAACAGGGGTGCCTAGTGCCGGGGGAGGGAAGGAGGGTGCACTTACCACTGAGGGAGCGGCTGGGAGAAGAGTGCTGGCTGTTGGGGGTGCTCACCGAGGGCCCCACTGGGGCCCCAAGGAACTCCTTCTCCAGAGATGAGTCCCCGCTACCTTGGAGGAGAGAACAAGAGGGCAGGTGAAGCTGTAGTTGTAGCCATTAGTAAATTGCCTGATCTTTTCAAAATTCAGTTACATGTATCTTGTAGCCAGGTACAAGGCAGTGTGTATGCCAGGCACCATACCTTGTGCCCTCGCCAGCCTGGGTGCCTGGTGCTGACTTCTGCGAGCTCAGTGACTGGGCCTTGCCCACCCTACCTTTATCTAGGCCTGAGGGGAAGAGCATCACTGCCTGACGTCCACAGGAAGCAGGGCTGGGGCTGGGCGGGCCAGGGTAGAGAGGAAAATGGGGGCCTCAGCAGGGAGGCGGTTCAGGACAGCCATTCTTTCCTGTTGTTCCTCTCTGGAGCCCCCAACACCAGGTACAGGATCTGCAGATAGGGCAGCTGGAATTGTCCCTGAATCTAATGATAATAACAGTAATCATAATGATGGCAGCTAACATTAATTGAGTGCTTACTACGTGCCAGGCATTGTTCAATGCACCTTGAACGAATTATTTCATTTAATCTTCACAACAACACTATGAAATTGTTACCAATATTATCTTAATTTTGCAGATGAGGAAACTGAGGCACAAAAGAGCCTCTGTTACTTGTCCAAGGCCATGTAGCAGGTAGTGGTGGAACCGGGATCTGATCACAAAAGTAAGTGCTCATGTCCGTAACCACCAGCTAGCTACACAGCCAACTGGGACTCACTGTTTCAGGAAGGGACAGTTGGGTCCATTAGACTTTCTAAAATTAGCAAAAATGTGACTATGCTAAAAATCATCTTATCTGATATGATTCCAACCAGATATTCACTACCTGGTGTTCCCTTAAGAGTGAAACAATCAGTTTATTTTCAACATACTCATTTTAACTTGTTGACAAGTTGCTTTGTAAAAATGCTTTTTGAGAATTTCATATGTGTTTTTAAAAATCAGATGACACACCTGAAGATATAAATCATGTCTTTAAAAAATATCCCTCCTCCCCACAATCTTCTACACAAATATATAGGTGAAATAAAACACATGTAGACAAACAGACACAGACACAGACACAGATCACATATGTAGATACATATAAAGAGAACATGCCTACTAGGATTAACATACCCACAGCCTCTACATTATCTGCTAACATGAACATGCATGGATGTGTGCAGACAAGCCTAAATATGGAAGACAGAGAAAGAGAGAGAGAGACAAACCCTAAAATTCATCCCTAAAGTCCACCTGTTAGTACTTTACCCAATTTCCCAGCTATGCACATACTTACTTTCACAAAATAAAGATTCCATTATAAAATGGTTGGAGTCTTGGGCCTGAGGCAAGAAATCCGGAACACACCCTCCTGAGGGATCCCTCTCCAGCTTTGGTCAGTGGGAAGAAAACAACCACTCAGGACTTTGGGACCATTTCCCATTCATATCCTCTCCTAAAAGTCCCATTTCCCGTACTCTATCCCATCAAAGTCTGAGGAAGTTTGTTTACCATCTATAGAACATCCTTATGGCTTAAAGCTGAGTTTCCCCAGCTGGGGCTCTTTAGATGAGCCATGGTTATCTATAGAAGTTGACCCAAACCAGAACCACACAGATATCATGAAGTGAGCATCTCAGAGTTGTGAGCTGAGACTTATAGACCCAGATCCAGTTTTAAAACGTCTTTTCAACTACATGTGGGGTTTACTAAGGTTAGAAGGGCTGAAAGGGTATCTTCTCAATCCTTTTCAATTGTTAGTGCTGACTTGCCCTAAATCATTTGATGTTAGTAATGGGAGAAGAGCAGGGCTTTGAGCCCTGGCACTGAGTCCTTGACCCTAAAGGGATTAGGAGCTTGCTGGAAAATCCATCCTTGGTCCCAGCCTGCTAGGCTGAGGCTGTCTCTTGGAGTCAGGGACTTGATATATGGGGAGGGTGGGGGGACATCCTTAAAGGGATATTTAGAGACAGTAAGGGGAAAACATCCTTTGTGACTTTCTCTGTTAAGGCCTGGGAACAGGAGGAAGAGCAGGTGCCTCCAGAGTCACGCCAGTAGTTCAAGAGGCTCTTTGATGCTGCTGCCCTCCCTAGGATAAAGGTGAGAGGGAAAACAGGCTCAAGTCTACTTTTATGGGCTAATATATAAAAAAGAATCCTTTCAGGGGCTGGAAAATCTTTATGGGGCCCCAAGGGTTGTGATTTCCAACTAAAGGGAGAAGAGGACTAGAGTCAGATTTAGGAAGTCTGGCAGTTCCTCTCTCAGCCTCAGAAACCCCAGTGAGGGAATTTCAAATGCCTGGGACTCCCAAGAAATCCCAGACTGTCAAAGCCAAGAACTGAGGCTGCTCTCAGGTCTCAGAGAAATTTTCTTGGTCAAAGTAAAAAAAATTGCTTGAACCCCTAGAGGGCAAAGCCAAATCATGAGGTTAACATCAGAGGAAGTAGGAGGCAAGCACAGGGCAGAAAAGCAGGAGGGAGAGACAGGGACCCGGGTAACATCCCACAAGCTCAATGTTTCACATGCAGGGGACTAGCCCACCTGCTCCTGCTGCCCTTCCTTGATCCCTTAGAGTGGCTACCTCTAGGGAATAGCCATGAGGTTGGAGAACCTCCACACTTCTGTGCAAGGACCTCATCCTAACTGCTTTCCCTTTCTTGACCAGGAGCTCCAAGGGGCCAGGTTGCTAGCCTGCTAGCAGGGAACAGTGGGAGCAGGAGCAAAGAAAGACGCCCATCCCCAGCGCTATTGTGGGGAGGACGCTGAGGCCCCTCAGATCTCTGTTGCAGGCTGAGGCATCTGCGGCCAAGGCTCCTCTTTACCTCCCTTCTCTCTACTATCCATTCCCACCCTGGCCTGTCTCGGCATTTCACCCAGGCAGTTCTACATCTGTCCCCAAGGCCTAATCAAGATGTCACCACAAGCTCCCACTATCCAAGTCGCAGTATTTGCTTAGCAACACCGAACACCCTTTCCCATCCTCCGCAAGTGTGAGGAGGAACGCCCCCTCCCCCGCCACACACACACACACACACACACACATACACACACGCAGCCCCCATCCTCTCCCTCTCCTCAGTCTCAGGAGTTGTTACGGAATTGGCTCCCTAGCCCCAGCACCCCCCCCTCCCCTAACCACCTTCTGCCTGAACTTACATTATCCTTCCCTTGCCGGTGAGACCCTGGGGTGCGAACGCGGCCGCCGCCTTGGAAACGGCGAGGGAGTGCGGGTGGTGTGTGCATGTCTGCGTCTGGGTGGCAGGCAGGGGTGAGCCCAGCCACTCACCTTCCAGGAAGCGTGGATTCCTGGAAGTGAGGGGAACCGCCGTCATTTCGCAGGCAGCGGCAGCCGCACGGTGAGCAGGGCCCACGGCTGCAGCCAGCAAGAAGAGCTCAACCCAGGGTGTATGTATGCGAGAGGGGGAGAGAGAGAGAGAGAGAAAGAGAGAGAGAGAGAGGAGGGGAGAGAGGGGGAGAGAGAGAGAGAGACAGCACGAGCGAGTGCACGCTTGGATGTGCTTGAGGAGGGGGCTGCAGGGAATGTAGAATGTATATGCTGTCTGGTGGGGGGGGAATGCTAGGCTACAGCATCTCTTTTCCAAGCCAGTGAAGGGGCGGGGTGGGGGGCTGTGCACAGGGAGGGGGGAGGCAGAAGCTGTTGCCCTCGTGCCCAGCAGACAAAGAGGAACTGCACAACAAATGCCTGAGAGAAGCGAGAGAGAGAGAGGGAGAGAGAGAGAGGGAGAGGGGGAGAGAGAGAGAGAGAGAGAGAGAGAGAGAGAGAGAGAGGCAGAGAGAGACACACAGAGACAGAGAGAGTGTGTGTGTGTGTGAGAGAGGGAGAGAGAGAGAGATGGATGGGCTCTTGGGGTGGGAGGGAGAAAGGGGGCCCCCAGGGAAGGCCCAATGTTCTGCCAGCTGGGGAAGCCAAGGCCCCAGAGGTCATGGGGCCCAGGACATGGGGCAGCTTCAAGGCTCTCAGATCAGCAGAAAGCCCCTCCCCCACCAAACTCAGGCACTCATATTCCCTCCTTTCCCTCCTCCTCCAGGAGGGAGGTCGTTCTTTAGATCTGTGGACTGACAGCCCTCTCCCTGTTAGCAATGAGAGGGCTCGGCACATTCTGGTCTCAGGCTGGGGTCGCCCTGTGGCCCTGCGCCCTTTCAGATTCCAGGCAAAATGCTGGTACAGCCAGTGTCCCCACCTCCCCTCCCGCCCTGTGCCCCTGGGGCAGGCAGGCAGCCGACAGCCGTGGATGAATCCGCCCTCTATCAAGACAAGGCCCCTGCTCCCTTCCCTTCCAGAGGAGCTGCTCACTGCCGTGCTGACCTACTTTGGAGACTAGATTTTCTGATTCCAAGAATTTGGGGGTGGGAGGGGCTGTGAAACTTTGGGCTGCCTACCCCTGGCTCTCTTTCGACCAGGGTTCCCTTAGACATTTCACAGTCCCAGAAAACTTGGGACAAGCCCTGCTCAGTCAAATAATTATATGAGCCAGTTGGAGCAACTCCGTTTCCCTTGAAAGATATAGAGTGGGGGAAGGAAGAGAACTTGTATGGTAAATTAATAGACTCTTCCCTTCTCTCTCCTCTCCCTCCTGGGAGGGAATGATCTGCACCTTTAGAAAAGACGAACTTTCTGAGTCAGGTTCTATGATGCAGGAAAATCTCTTTGAAGAACAGGAGAGATATCCTCTTCATCAAGTGGCTAGGTGAGGAAAGGCCACCTGCTGAGGGGGCCGAAGAGCTGTGCTGACCCTGAAGGAGGCACCGGTGTGCGTGGGGGGCAGCTGTGCACTGCGTGCAGCCTCTCCCGCTGCTTCCCTGTCGGTCCGGGAGAGATGGGCCAGTCGTGGGCTTGCAGATGCCCCCCAAGTGGACTGCCTCAGCCACGCTCAGTCCTGCAGGAGCTACTTTTCTGAGCTAATGTTGGCCCTATCCTGATTTTCCTCTTCCCTCTCTAAGGTAGCTGCTGACATCTAGAACTCTCAAAACACAGATGAGGGCTTTCTAGCGTCTACTTTCATTCAAAAGCCATCCTATGCAGACACCTCTTCTTATATAGGAAATGCCAACCTGCTGAAAGCAGGGAAGGTTTGGTTTCATAGCATGGCAAACACCCTTAGAATATCCAAAATTCCTCTAATATCCAAAATTCTCCAGATATAGGACTGAAGATAGCTCCGTGGGCTATTCCCTCAGCCACCTTCCTGGTTCCTCATTTGCCCACCATGGAGCAGGGCCTGGTTTTCATCCATGTGCGTGGTCCCCAGTAATAAAGCAGGGTCCTGAGTGTGGTCGTTGCTCTGTAGTGGTTTCCTGAATAGGCTTCACTGAGCAGGAGGTAGGAGGGTTGGCTAGTTCCTCAGAAGGGCTATGATTTTCATACCAATAAAGTATCTTTCAATTAAGTCAGTCCACTTGATCCCTGTCACTCCCTCCGGCATGTGGCAGGTACTGAATGCCTTTACCTATTCCAATTCCTTCCCTCCTTAAATGAAACAGGGGTCATAGTCATCTTATCTTCCCTTACATTACCCAGAAATTGTCAATGACTTTTAAATGGGTATCTGATCCAACCTGCCATCTTCCTTAGTGCCTGTCCGTAATTCCTCCACTGGTTCCACTTTAGGGAAAAGGAAAGAAAAGAAAGAAAAGAAACAAACAAAAGGAAGGAAGGAAGGAAGGAAGTAAGGGAGGAAGGAAGGAAGAAAGGAAGGAAGGAAGGAAGGAAGGAAGGAAGGAAGAAAGAAAGAAAGAAAGAAAGAAAGAAAGAAAGAAAGAAAGAAAGAAAGAAAGAAAAAGCAAGAAAGCTCTAAGTCATTTATACAATGGTGCTTGGATTTCTGGTGTGGATACTCATCATGTCAAAACCCAGTTCTGTCTTCTCTTACCTCTTATAATAATTTCTTGCCCTGACATTCTAATAGTCCAAAAAATGATTCCCTCCATCTTAGACACACACTGTCTTAGGCTATTCCTGTACCCTTAAGAGAGGGAGCCAGATAAAGTTCCTCATTTCTTTTCATCTTGTTAAACTCTGGGAGGATCCTAATTACTTTCATATCTCTAAAAGCCAGTCATACTATAAGCAATGACCTTGTCTGCCGCAGTTAGAGTATTTGGCAGGCATGAAAAGCTTTATGTTATGATCATGGAAAAGGATCAGGGGGATTGAGAATTGGGCTCTATATCTCCACTTCAGAGGCTGTAAGTTGTTGGCCCACGGTTGAATTCAGCCCGTAGATAAGTCTGGCTCGCCCCATGGAACATTTAAAAATAACACTGAGTCATTATTTTTAAATGGAGACATTTCATATAAAATTTGGATTTCTGATTTCTCTTAAAAAATTGGAAGTTTTGGTCACTCTAGATATATATTCCCACATGGACACTGAAGAGCTGCTGCTCCTTGAGTTAGAACATGTGTTTTCCATTTCATGACAGTCCCCACTGTTCTCTTCTGCTCATTATCCTAACCCAGGTCATTCATTTACATGCCCACCTGGCCCCCACAGGCTTTTGAGGGTTGAAATCCTGCTCCATTCTCTACCTGGGTAGGACAGAATATCATGTTTGGCTGGTGACTTCAGAAAACAGAAGGGACTACATCTTCCTTTGATCTCTTTGCTTCAAATCATTCCTTTCTAATAGTCTCCACTCATATTCCTCTCCTATCCTCTTTTATCAACCACGAAGTCTGGGAAGGGAATCATTAGGGAATGTAAAATGACTGATATAAATGAATACTATGCTTGACACTACCAAGCATGAGTGTCAGCTCTGTGACTAGGACACTCAGGTCCTGTGCTAGGCTGACGGCTCTGCTCCATAGGAGAGTGTCTGCTCCCAGCCCCTTACAAATAGAATGCACGAGAGGGCATACCAGACATATAGGAGCGGCCATTGCAGTCTTCTATGTCCATCTTAGATTCTGCTGAAAGAGAAAATAGCTGCTATTAGAAGCCAGCTGGGAGGGGAGGAGGCTTCTCTCTAACCTTCTGGAGTTAGCAAGAAAATTGAAGGATCACTTTAGTGTGCTCTGAGTCTATCATAAAGAAGAAAAACCTCATACCTTGTCCTGGTGAGGAAAACAATGTACCCTGACTTATAAACCCTAGGATCTCCTCTGACCCACAACTTCTGTTTCCCCAGGCTCTGCAGTGGAAACACCATCTTATCCCAGGGTGGTCCTGGTTGTGTTCTGATAGGAGACCCTTTCCCTGTAGATGGAGCTGATGTTGTAGGAAAGAAGGCAGGTTACAGCTTAGCTCAGACCTAGGGAGGCAAAAAAAAAAAAAAAAAAAAAAAAGTCCCATAGAGGCTCTGTACCTTAAGGATGGGGTAGTAATAAGAGGAAGAAGCAGGATTCAATCACTCAGGGGACTCTCTTTTGAGTGCGTGGTGGGAGGGAGGGGGACAGGAAAGTAGATGAAGGAGAGCAGCCCACCTCAGGTTCAGTGAGAAGAGTCCTCTACTGAAGGTATAATAAACAAATTAAACATTTCAATGGCTTTCCCTGCCTCTGGTCAATTACTTTGCTATGTTTATTGTTTGTAAAGGTGAGGTGAATCTAAATTTAAAATACAGGTTAGTCTATCTGAAGTTAAGATAGGCAATAATTGGCAGTAGATTATTAAACAATGGAGAACTGAGAACAATTAAAAGTGCTAATTTGTTGCAATGAATTATTTCCTTAGGAGCCTGTGGGAGGACAAAAAAAAGATCTATTTGGTGGAAACACACATACATCCAAACTTGCATTCACTGTTCATCTAATGAAAAACAGATTTGGGGGAGCAAGAGTGGGGCACAGGAATAGCCTGAGCTGCCACCAGGATTCTTGGTCTCTGAAGGGTCTCACTAAGACAGATGGATGAAAACTTGGTTTACTTATATTATATTGATAGAGCCAGGGGTGCGAGGGTGGTTCTGGAGAGCACACGGGGGTAAAGTCTATTGCCATGTCTCTCTCCCCACCTGGGTCATTCTTGTCTAGTTTTGAAAGACATCATACTCCTCTAAAAAGTCTCATGAAAATAAGCCTGAAACATTCACTAAGCAAACCCTTTAAATTACCTCCGAGAGATTGCTAGTCCCACCCAGAAAGACTGGGTATGAAGAAAAATTTCCCTAAGTGTATTTTCAACTCCTCTTTTTTTGACATCCTCCCTGGAATGGACTAAGCTTTGGGACCACACTGCTAGATCGAACCACAGTAATAAGTGGTTCCTTGAATGTTCCCTTAGGGACAATGATTAAAAGAGCCCAAATCCACAGGGGTTAGTGAACTCATGCCCTCTGGAATTAGCCAGAGAACTTGCAGTGGTCAGAGATCTAAAGAGAGTGCGGGCAGCCTAGTACCTCTGGGGCCCCTTTCATTTCCAAATCATTAGCTCCATAATTGCCCTTTGGGATTGTTCAAAACTACTGCAAAGCTCCAGATGACCTCTCTCACATCGCCACCTCCCACCCCCACCCTCCACATGCAGGAGAAGCAAGAATGAGCAGGATTTTCCCAAGTTTCTCCTTGGAGGAAACTGAGGCTCAGTGCAGGTAAGTGATTTGTCTCAGGGCTCATGGTGAGACTGTAACAAGAAAAAGTACACAAGTCTCCTGCCTTTCCAAGAGGTGCTCTTTTCATTAAACAATCTTGCTTCCTTTCAAAAGCCGGGGTACTCAAGGCCTTCACGGATCTCTTGCTTTTCCCTGGTTCTAACATCAAATTAAGGCATCTTTTCCTTTGGTGTGGTCCCTGTGGGAGTGGGGTCTGTTACGTAAAAAGGAAGAACAAATTGAACAGACTCTACCAAGAGAAATATGCTAATGCAATTGTGTGTGTGTGTGTAAACTAGAAGCTAGACAGGCACTAGGTGGGCAGAGTAGTTGAAGCATAGCATTCAGCTAGCACTGGCTCAGGAAGTACATCTCATTCTTGGACACCTGCCCAAATGGCCCCCAGACAATTTCTAGAGGGGTCTGCAAGAGTTGTTCTCTGAGTTGGACTTTGTTCCTAGTAGTGAAGTGAGCTCTTCTGCTTCTTAATTGCTCTTAACAGGTACTTCATGACACATCTTGCACAAAATAAGTTTTTAGCTCCTCTAAATGCCAAGTTGGTAACCCTGGAAATCGGAGGGGATTGAGATTCTGCTGTTCTCAGTCTTGATATTTTGAGATCCAGCAGCAAATCAGTAGATGAACTTCACTATTTGAGCAATCCCGAGGTGTCACATCCCTCCCAATCTTCCCATTCCTTGTCCCTCAAAGCACCTCCTCCCCTGCCTGGCCAGGCAGGCAGATCTTAGTGTCTACTTAGAGGAACTGGGTCAAATTAGGCAGTGCCAACTGGAGACATACCACGGGGGAGGAGGTATAAGGAGAGAGAAGTTCGTTACACAAGACAGGTTTGGCTCAAAGATCTTGGAAGGAAACTTGCTTTATAACAACATAGACGTTATTCAGTGATAGAAGTAGGCACACCATGTACTGTAAATTCAGTTCAGCAAGGTGAACACAAAACAACTAGAAACAGCTAGTCTCCCAATTGAAAAGTATTTCTGTGAGGAGAGAGGAAAAGTTGGTCACTGTAATCTCTGGAGACAGAGATTTTCTTCCCTGTTCTTTGGATCCTCTTGGCACTGTAACAAGAATATCCATGGCCTTGGCTTTTGCCCATTAACACAATGTCACATATGAACAGGAGTAGGCATCCCTTCCAGCCAGATTTCCCATCACACTTCCTGACAAGCAGAAGGTATGGACCAATCAAAGTCTGGCTTCCAAGGTCAGGTCAGACACCGGCTACCATTCCCATCTCCCCATCTCCACAAAAACATTCTCATAGCTCTGTTGGGGACAAAAATGTCAGAAAGTAGCTCTGAAAGCCTGAAATAAGAAGGGCATCACAAGGAATTAAAGCTCTTCAAATCCTCCAAGGAATCCTGTTTGATCCAGTGACACTCCAAAATTGAAATTTAAACCACTCTATGTGGCCTACTGGGTAGAAAGGTAGTGAGGTGTGTATTGATGGGAAAGAGGGTGGAGATGGAGAGTAGCAAGAATCCATGCCATCATTTTATGATTATTCCTGAACTACAGCAGGGAGAGGTAGAAATTATTTCTCTGGTCTTCCATTGGACCTGGGATCTGAGGTGAAGCCCAGCAATTACTGACAAGACAGAAGTTCCCACCTGCTTGGGAGTGAGCAGTTTGTGTACTACAAGTACGCCAAACCCACAACATCACCCTCTCCTGCCTATTCCTTCCTATACTGAATAAACTGAGCAAAACCATGTTGGAATCACATCGCTGGCTCTGCTCTCTACCAGGGCTTTGCATAATTGGGGAGGGGGAATAGGTGGAATTAGGCACTGCTTACAACCTGACTGCACATTCTTTTCCAGGAAACAGACTTGGACATCAAGCAATTTGCAGGTCTGAAATCATGTTTAGGGACAATCTAGTGCCCTCTGAAAGAAACCAACCAACCTTTTCTCAGCTCATGTGTCTGTCTTTACAGCAGAAATATTTGCCTCATTTTTTCACCAGGCTGTAGATTGTGACCTTCTGCCTACATATAACACAGACAAAGACAGCTCAGCTTCATTATCCAAGTGCTTGGGGAACAGTGCAGAGGGGATGAATTCCCAAATCGTCCTAGGAATGGCCAGGCTCTAAAATAAGAAGGAGTTAAGAGCTGGAAACACAACACCTGGGCAGTGGGAAAATATCACCTCATTGTCTCCTTTGTATTTTTTAAAATTTATTTATTTATTTATTTATTTATTTATTATTTTTCAGAGAGAGGGGAAGGGAAGGAGAAAGAGAGGAAGAGAAACATTGATGTGCAAGAGACACCCAGCTGGGGACCTGGCCTGCAACCCAGGCATATGCCCTGACTGGGAATCGAACTGGTGACCTTTCAGTTCACAGGTTGGCTCTCAGTCCACTGAGCCACACCAGCCAGGGCTCATTGTCTCCTTTTAAATCTCAGATGAATGCATCTTTTCTCTTTTTCTTTGTGCTTCCCTGTTCTCCCCTGTGGAAGAACTGTGGAAGACTGTTCTAGACAGTCTGTGGAAGTCTGGATAGTCTAGACTGTGGAAGAGAGAGAATGTTAAGGTTTATGGGTGGGAGGAGAAACAATCCTACCCCTCCCATGTCTCATTTCAGAATTTATGGAATGAAGAAAAGAGCCAAACTAAACAGTTTAAATCACCAGGTATGATGCACATGAGATGATACACTCTGGGTTTTGGGGGCTATATTCTTGAGTATATAATCCCTGTGTTTATAGAGAGGCCCCACACAGTCATTGCTGTTCAGCTGTATGTTTGAGCAGGGTAGGGAAAAGTAGTGCAGGAGAGTTCAATTTGTTTTATAATTATCAGCCTTGGAGCCTAAGATGTCCAAAACCGGGTTAGCTCTATCAAGTGAAGTTTGAAATTACACAGAAGTCTCAATGAACTCTTCTGACTGGGGTAGGGTGGCAAAAAGGTGGAAGAGATAGGAACAATTGCCTTTGGTGGTAGTCCTGGACAGGAGTCCCTAATGTATGCTGATCAAAAGAGCTCACTGGTGTTTGGGTCAGAAAGACATTTTCAGGCTCCTCTGCTAACAAAGAATCTTGCTCAGACAATTAATCCAGTAAGCTCTCTTCAAGTAGAGAGCCTTGGAGCAGAGATATCTAGGACCTGCGGAATCTCGGAGCAGAATGGTGTTGAGAGGTATCTCCAATTTTTTTTTAAAGATTTTATCTGTTCATTTTAGAGAGATGGGAAGGAAGGGAGAAAGAGAGGGACAGAAGCATCAATGTCTGAGAGACACATTGATTGGTTGCCTCTTGCATGCCCCCAACTGGGGACCTGGCCAACAACCCAGGCATGTGTCCTGACCAGGAATGGAACTGATGACCTTTTTGTTAGCAGGCTGGGCGCTCAATCCACTAAGCCACACCAGCCAGGGCTCCAATTTGTTTTTTTTAACTGAAGAAGAAACTAAGCCCAGAATCACCCATATGGATAGTGATAGAAATAGGACAAATAGAACCCAGGTTACCAGTCTGGGGGTGTTTCCACTACGGCACAAAGTTAAATCCTAACATAGCTGGAAGGTTGGGGGCCACCCTGCTTGCTCAATTTCTTGGGTGATAAAATGAGTAGTTTTGGGGTCTACATCTTAGTGACTGAAATCCTTGAACTAGAAACACATGGATCAGACAAGAAATAATTATCTCCTTCCCATGTTTATTTTTTCAGAGATTATATGCCTGAGGAAAAAGCCAACCTAGACACTCACTAAATATCTTTAAGATAGAAACAGGGCTTCTTGACTCAAGGATCATGCGAGCATGTGTATTCCAGCAGTCTATACGGTTGATGCTATCCTGGGGGAAGAGGGAATCAGGCCATTCATATCAGCACTATTCTTTCTTAGATGCTTTCATCCGATAAACCTTGAACTTGCCTCACTGTTTCAAACACGGAGTCCGCAACTCTTCTAAGAGGATGCAAATCAAACAGCCTGAATTCAGAGGCTTCTCCAGCAGGGTCAAGAGACCAACGAAGAAAGGGAACCCCTCTGCCTGTGGCATTGTCTACACCCACAGGGTCCCACACTCTAATTTGTTCCCACAAAATAAAATGAGGCTAGAAACAGCTGCCCAACAAATATTTTATCTTTATTTTTCCTTGGCTATTCTGTGTGTGTGTTCAAGGAAGAGAGATGGCAAGTTTGAGAGAAAATAATTCCTTTGTGGATGTTGGAGGGGGGTAAATGGTGGGATGTTCCTCCCACGCTGGGAAGTATGGGCTGAAGATTTAAACTAAGAGGAAATAAAGAAGAAAGTTGTATTTTCACTGGAAAAAAAGTCAGGACTTATTTCTGAGTCAAGTCCTGAAACAAGCTCTACCTTTAACCTACAGGGAGGAAGGGGGTTGCCCAGAAGCCACAATTGAACTAAATGCACTTGGTGGGCAAGAAAGACATTGTTTTGTGCTTGAGACATCAGCATCTATTGACTAGGACAAGATACAATTCTGAAACTGCTAAAGTGAAGGCAGCCCCCACCACGCTGGGGCCTACTAGAGAAGCTCCAGTGAAACCTCTCCTGCTTTCCAAAGATAAAGCTATTTTCTTCTTCTTTTTCTTTTTTTTTAAAAAAAGATTTTATTTATTTATTTTTACACAGAGAGGAAGGGAGGAGAAAGAGAGGGAGAGAAACACCAACATGTGGTTGCCTCTTGTGTGCCCCCTACTGGGGACCTGGCCCGCAACCCAGGCATGTGCCCTGACTGGGAATCGAACCAGTGACCCTTTGCTTCGCAGGCCAGTGCTCAATCCACTGAGCCACACCAGCCAGCGCTATTTTCTTCTTTTAAGACTATTTTTATCTCAGGAGCCACTCTTCTGACTGTTCTCATGACCCAGGGAGCTGTCTGGATTCTCTGGTTTTAGGCTCCTAGTTGGGAAGGCTGAAGTTCCCCATATATCACAAAGCAAGGTTCACTGACCTACTAGCAGACCCATGAGGGGATGAGGGATTCCGGGCCAGGCATTTAACGTACCTCTACCAAATAAGATGCTACACTTTCAGATTGTATGATTTGGCCTTTTATCTGGTCTTGTCCTCAGGATCTGAATGATACTAATTGGAAATATTCTAGGTAGTCGGACACCTGTTTATAATATTTCCTAAGGACATAAACATATGAACTTTACCCAGGCTATGTGAACAAGGAGCAGTAATGTGAGATAGCCAGGCCTCAACTGTCTTCAGCTTGGCCACAATCATGTAAAACCTAGAGCTGACATGAGTCAGGAACATCAAGCTTACCACTGATGCTTTGAGGGCTCAAGCTGGGGAGACTAGGGCATAGCTGGAGCTATCAAACAGTAAAATGGGAGTCAATAAGAGCCACAACAGTAGAGTTTTCTTATGAGAGAAGGGACTGAGGTAAAAGAAGGTATGCAAAGCTTGCCTGACATATTGGTTGGTAATGCAGCAAATCTTCCGGGAAGCCGAGCTAGTAAATTCTTGACCGTGGACGGGGGGCGGGGGGGGGGGGGGGGTAGTGTACCTTATTTCCTAAACATCTCATATCTAGAGGTCCGTGTAGCATTAAACATTCCATTATTCCCAGACAGGACCAGTGACAATAAAACAAACAAACAAACATTTAAAAAGTGAGTTTACAACTCTAGCAGACAAGGGGGAAGAAAAAAAGAATGGGGCCGTGTGAGGAGGTGCTTGGAGGGCTGTTTTAGTTTAGACCTGCTTCTTAAGTCTGTTGCTCCTCTCTACTTCGACCGCCAAGATCTGCCCCCGGGATTTTTCTCTTCCATTTCTTTCTGTGGGTTCATAATGCAGTGAATCTCTTCCTTCATAGCCTTGTTTCTCAGATTCCCTAGACTTCTCACCCTACACAGTACCCCAGACAGCACTTCTTACTCCACCTAAAGTTTCTTCTCTACCACGTTTCTCCCACTTTGCTCATTGTAAAGATCTTTCCCACCTAGGCCTGTCTTTCCCTCCAACCTTCTCGACGAAACCCTAGGGTCCCTGGCTTTTCCTCCCAGGTACCCTCTCGGCTTCTCCTTTCCCCGCTGTGGTTCTCTGTTCTACCCCAGCCGTACCCTACCAAAGAACCTCCCGAACGCCAGCCTTTACACGTCCTCCGTGTTAACTCGTCTTCCTAGGTCCAAGGTACCTCTCCCTCAACCCTGGGGCCTCGCGCCAAACTCTGCAGGTCCAGCCTCCTCCCCTAAGGCCGTAACCCACCCGCCAACCCTCTCGCCGAGAGCCCGGCGTCCAAGACTCCCCTCGCTTCAAGCCCAAGCCCCTCAGGCCCCGCCCCCCGTCGGCCTAGGCCCCGCCCCCCGCGCTTCGCCCAAGCCCCGCCTCTCACTCACCTGAGGCAGCTCCGCGCGCGCGCAGGCTGGGGGGGTGGGGATGAGAGAGAGAAGGGACGGTATTGGGGGAGAGGGAGGCGGGGCGGCGGGGGTCCCCCACTCTGGCCCGGGCCGTCCAGTGCGGGGGAAGTGAGGGGTCACTGAGGCGGTGGCAACCGGGCCGGAGCCGGGACCCAGGCGCTCAGCGGCGGTGGCGGCTCCATCTCCATCAGCGGCTTCACCTGAAGAGGGACGGCCCCCCCATAAGCCCCCCCCATCACAGTCTTCTCCCCTCCCCCGAACAACTTCCGGTCCCACTACAAGGCGACAGGCGGCTTGGCCGAATATCGAGCGCCCCAAGCCAGGGAAATTGCTGGGGAAAGGAGGAGCTAGGGGAGAGTAGCTGAGCGCCGAAAGATTCAAGTCCGAAAGGCGCGGTCTCAGGCAGAGGATAACTCTTGACTGCCCCTTCATTTGCATCTAATTTGCAAACTGGGCACCCTCTGGGCACCTCACGTGTCCTGGCACATCTGCCCCTAAGGCCATATTTTGCCCTTGAACCTCAAGACAATATTAACTTTAACCTCTTAACCATTCTTTGCCTTTCCTGTCAAGTGCGTAGGACTTGTGAGGGGGAGGGGTTTAAAGTGGCAGATACTTTTTTGCTCTGGGGGGATCTCTTGACGTCAGTCACCTACATAACAGATGTTGACAAACTTCAGAGAAGGAAGCCCCACTTCTTGACCCCTGCACCTGTTTCCTTTCTCCATTTCCTCCAGCTTTTGTTTGGGATTATCTCTCACTGCACATCCCAGTACCAGTGCACCTCCCTCCTGCTGCATGCTCACTCCTGTCTTGAGTTCCCCAAAATTATCTTTTTTTTTCAGTGTTGTAGTTTTAAACAGATGCTTTATTGATATATTTATAAAAATGTAACTATAAAGGAAGAGAATTGCACTACTCATACCCCTGGCAACCCAGAGAGGCAGTAGAAAAGTCACATACTTACTTTTCCTACATAAATCTACATTCTCTGAAGAATCCAAGAAGAAAAGCAAAATAAGGCCTCAGTGGTGATAAACATTAGAAGAGGAGGTGGAGTAGGAAGAGAAAAATAGTGCTTGTATCCAGAAATACTTTTCCCACTTCTAGCCCACTTTCTCCCAACAGCTCTCACCTCCTGGCTAAGGTTCAGTGGCCAGAAATATATGACAGTATCAAAGGAGGGTTTTGCCTGGGTGGAAATGTGCACTGTGTACGTACGTGTGGCTTAGGAAGGCATAGTACAAGTTTCTGATCCAAGGAGTGGAGAGATGGGAAAGGTTTTCCTGTGGAAATGAGGCTAAAGGGTGTGGAAAGGCGCTGAGAAGGTGGTTCTGGGGACTAGATGGTTCCATTTCACTTTCTTATGGGGCGACATGGACATGGACACGGTGCCAGGCGTTACTGAGCACACCTCGCAGGTTCCAGATTGGGGCCACGGTGTCTGGCTGCACATTGTAGCTGTCATCTACAGCCTTACATACAATGTTCAATTCCTTTTTCCCGGGTGGCACAGTGGCTTGAAGCTGCCATAGCCGCCAGGCCCAGGCCTTTTGGGGGCACTGTTTCTCCCCATCCAGCTCAGCCACCTGCCAGGTTAGGCCCCCATCCAGGGACACATCCACCCTGATCACAGCCCTTCCACCACCACTCCATGCATAGCCTTTGACAGTCACATCTCCTGACGCCACGATCTCCCCATCCTTGGGTTCTGTGATGGCTGACTGGACAGGAAGTTCCTGAATAGATGGAGCTGAGTCAAAATCTACAGAGTCCCAGTCCACAGATGGAGAGAAGCCTTTGTAATCTCGCCGCTGCCAGTGGCTGTAACTTTCTTCTGGTCCTACACTCACTTTGCCCAGCCATTTGACATGGCGGGCACCCACCACACCAGGAACCACAACCCGCACAGGAAAGCCGTGGTCACGAGGCAGAGGCTGCCCATTCATCTCATATGCCAACAGAACCTCAGCTTCAGGGTCCATGGCCCGAGCCAGAGGGATGGATGCTCCATAGGCAGTTCCTGTGGGGTCTGAGTCTAGTCCCTCAAAGCAGACATGGGCCTCAGTATCGCAGAGTTGGTGACCAGCCTTGGCTAACACATCGCATAGTCGTGCCCCAGCCCAGCGTGCAGTGCTAATGGCCCCTGTACTCCATTCCAGACCTCTTACTTGTTTTATCTGATTCATCTCAGAGCGCCGGTTGCCAGCACACTGTAGAGTGGCCGTGATCTCGTGCTTGGGGAACTGATACAAGTCCTCCAGGGACAGGGACAGTGACTGACCCCCAGGTGGTCCTACAATATGCAGGCGATAGGTGTCTGGGTCCAGGTTAGGTACAGGCAGATGGTTTCGGGTGAAGAAGATAGGGTTGGGTGTGATGTAGTTTTCTGTTAGCAGCTCAGGGGGAGGCTCTGCATTAAAGGGACGCTGGCTGTTTACCTTCAGAGCTGGGTGACGTATAGGATCATCAGCGTAAGGGTCGGAGGTCTTCAAGGTGGAGGGCACCTTGTCTTCAGGGCTCAGCTCCCCGATCTTGTACTGAGCTAGTATCTCACGTATGTGGGGCTGGTTGTGAACAGCGTAGAGGGACCAGAAGGGCTCTAGAGGACCCCCGGCTGCCAGCATCAACTTTGATGGCCCCCCTGGGTGTAGGTCCACAAATTCTGTGACATCAAAAACCTCAGATCCCAGAGTCACCCAGATCCTAGTCTCAGGGCTGCTGTGGGATTTTACTTCCCTCCCGCGTGTATATGCGAGGTGACTCCTGAGCAGCCTGCAGGCAGGGAAGGGGTGAGGCAAAAGGGAACAGAATATTAAGAAGAAATCACTGCAGTTTACCCTGAGACAGTGTCCAAAGTCATGGCCACTGGGAAATGGAGGTAGCATATTTCATCTCTACTGTGCATGAAGCCTGGTTTGCCTGGGGAGCTCACTAGGATACCTTTGTTCTGACAGTGAAGTCTCTTCCTTTCCCACTTACCCTGCATCGGTGGTCATGATAGGCCAACACTGCCCCGAGGCCTAGCAGGGTTCCCATGACTCTCCATCTGCTGCTGGAGTTATCTCTAGAGAAGGCAAGGCTGGGGCACTGGGGCTGAAATGAATCATTTGTAGAGCAGGCCTGAATGCAGAGCCTTGAGTGGGTACACTTGAGTCTGGAAGAGAAAGAGTTCTTTTTAGTAGCGCTTGTCTCAGCAGTGAAGGCCTGGGTTTACCTCTCCCTGGGTGGCCATTGGTTCATTCAGCTGGAACTTAAGTTTCTTCACGGATGGGTGGGACAAGTGGGATCTAGCCTGTTCTTTCTTTCCTGGCCAACATCTCAACTACCTTATCAAGCAGATAAGATATTATAAAGATACTGGGAGTGGGAGATATGGGCTAGGAGATTAGGAGGGGGTGGCCTACCTGCAGGCCTGTCTGAGGCCCAGGACCACAGCTCTGTGCAGCAGCAGCATTGTGGCAGACCAGTAGGAGGAAGATTCTGGGATCAAGATAGGAATTCCTGGGAGGGGATGATATTAAGGCAGTGTGAAGGCAGAGGCCAGGGGAAGACACAGAAGAGGTCAAATGGAGATTTTCTGTGGTAATGAGGACAAAGGTTAGGAATGGGGGTCCAAATGAGCCCTTAGAGAAAAACTGGAACACTTCAGAGATAGACTGTACTGACAAAATGAAAGAGAATGGGGTGGGGAGAGTGAGGGGAGAAATAGAAGTCTTCTAGAATCACCTATCTCCCTTTCTCTACTCTACTCTTGGGTCTAAAATGACAGAATTTATTTCTGAAATCAGAAGACAACTGAAGGGCAAACTGATGTTTAAACACAGACAAAAAAGGTGAAAAAGGTGATGGCAGACTAATGGGGTGAAGGAGTTTAGGTTCTGGAGTCAAACTGCTTTGGGTGTGTGACCTGGATGGTGTGGCTCAATGGATAGAGTGCCGGCCAACCAAAGGGTCACAGGTTCGATTCCCAGTCAGGGTACATCCCTAGGTTGCAGGTCAGGTCCCCAGTAGGGGGTATGTGAAAGGCAACCACACATTCACGTTTCTCTCCCTCTCTCTCTCCCTCCCTTCCTCTCTCTCTAAAAATAAATAAAATCTTAAAAACAAACAAACTGCTTTTGGGTTTGTGAAACTGGCCCTGCCATTAATCATCCCTATTCTCTGGGCAACATAATGAAGCCTCTCTGAACTTGCTTCCTCATCTATGAAATGAGATTTACATGGCACAGCACTGTGACCAGTCAACAAGTAATAACTTTATCTTTGAAAGCCTTTCAGTCTCCTCCTCTCTCCACCCACACTAAAAAAAAACCCTGGATCCCCAACCCCACTTCTACCTTGTCTATGTCATCCAAGGAGCTCAGCAAATTGAGGAGTTAAAGGCCAGGCTGGCAGGGCAGAAGGAACAAAGTAATTTTCCTGCTCTCTGCCCTGCAGTTTCTTCCTCACAGCACAGAGCAGATCATTTACCCCAAGAGGCCCAAGTGGGTGGGGGTAGGAAAAGTCCGAATTGCCGATGAGATGCTAGAGAAGGGGGCAGGCAGAGAAACTGCGAGGGAGAAAGGAGTAGGAGTAGGAGCAGAATCTGTATTTTACTCCTGGGCTATGGGCCTCTCCCGCCCCCTCCCACAGTCCCTCAATCCCAGTAGCCCACTTGAACCAGACATGAACCAGCGGTGCAGGTAGGGCTAACCTGCAGGTGAACTCAGTTCAATGTCCCAGGTTTTGGAAGAGGTAGCCTTCTGCTGCATAACAGATGCCACTCCTCAGGGGCACTTTAGGTAGGAGGATATGTCCAGCACCAGGGCACAAGCACCAGGTCCCATGCCACTACCCAGAGCTGGCACAAGTTTCTTGTAGCAACACCCCGCGCCCCAGAAGAGGCACCTGAACAGCGGGAGTGGAGGCGGATACTGCTTTTTGTTGTCCTCGGGGTTTGAAAACTCCCTGGGTGCCAAGGACCCCGCTGTCACCTGGGTCACCAGCCCTTCCCCTCCTTATCCCTCTCCCAGCCCCAAACCCCTTACCGTTTGACGTGCCCAAGATGGACCGGTCCGCCGCCCAGAGACTGCTGGCAAAGGGGCGGGGCCAGCGCTGTGACGTTAGGTCGGGATTAAAGGATCGTTTGCATTCCTCTGCTCGCCCCCAGCCATTGGTGGGCCGCGAAACGCCTCCTAGCTGCTGTGCCCGCCTCCTGGAGGCCGCCGCAGGCGGGGCGCCTCCAGGGCTTGAAGCTAGAGTAGGTTTTTTGTGGGTTTTTTTTTTAACCTCCTGGTCGGACAAGAAATGGCAGGCACCCTCACCGATGTTGAAACCCGGGCAGTGGAAAGTGACGATGACTCTAAAGACTGGGCTTAACTGTGGGAGACTTTGAGATGACCCTGCCCCGCCCCTACTGCTGAGGCTTCAGGTGCGTTCACTGGAAGAGGCCTGAGGATCCAGCCAGCCTTCTCTGGGCGGTGAGGCTTGCCTTTACGCTGTTTTTGACAAACATCTATGTTGCAGCTACAACAGCTGTGTGTCTTTTACTTTAGAGAGAACAAGGTCAAGTGATTCTCTTGCATACAAGAGTGAGAGCAGAAACGAAGCCTAAATAGTGGTTCAAAGACTTTGAGATTCCTTGGACTAGTCGAATTTCTCCCCAAATCATGGAACCAACAACATTGAATAGCCATCTTTTATTTTAAGCCAATTTTTAAATATTTTATTTTTTAGAGGGGGAGGGAAGGAGTAAGAGAGGAAGAAAAACATCTATATGTGAGAAACATCAAGTGGTTGCCTCTTGCAGGCCCCCAATTGGGGACTCGGCCTGCAACCCAGCCATGCGCTCTGCCTAGGAATCGAACCAGCAACCTTTCGGTTTGCAAGCTGGCGCTCAAGCCACTGAACCACACCAGCCATGGCTGAGTGGTTAAATCAATTTTTAAAAATCATTGTTTAACAAGAGCAACGACACAGAACACTCCAAATTAGGAAGATGATAATCGTTCATAATCTCAGAGCAAAGGACACTAACACAAGTCATTTGCTTTACCCTTTTACCATTTGGTGCAGGACTAAAAATTTGTCATAGGCCAGCTGTGAACCTGGGATAAACATATCTACACTGCCCTCTAGGGAACAGAAGGTTGAGCAACAACTTTACCTTAAGGTTTTCATCTTTAATTTTGGAAGATCATTTCCCCTCCCTTTCTGCTCTCCTGAACTTGAGATTTTACCAGGAATCAAGGAGTCATGGGAGTGTCATGGGAGAGTAGTAAGAAATATACAGAAAGGGGAAGTGACACCAAATAGGTGATTTTGGCTGTAAAGTTTTTAGAAATAGATTTTCAATCCAACTGTGTACAATTAAATTATTGGAGAGGCCTGGTACAAGACCTATCTTACCAGTTTTAAAAAACAGGCTCAGCACAACGACACGAAGAAGTCAGTTAGGGACCACCTGAAGCCATGGGGATGGAGAATATTTCTCCCTAAAAAGTTATCGTTTCCTTGTATGTGACATACATGCTGCACGTCAACAGTCCTTTAAACCTCAACTTTATTTTACAGAGGGCAGTTAAGTAACTGATCAAGGCCACAGCTGGTGAGCTGGCAGAGACAGGATTGGAATGCTGGGTCTGTTTGGCACCAGTTCTCTTTCCTTTGAATTCTTTGGAATTTAAAACTCCTCCTGCAACCATACCTAATCTTTTCTATGTATCATTTCCCCCCCACCCAAGTCCACTTAGACTATGACAGACTAAAGGGCTTCACATACAGTAGGAAACAAGATAGATCCAGGAGAAATTTTCCTGTGGGGGGTAAAGCCACATAATTGGTCAAAAACACTAGTTCAGTGATTTTTTTTTTTTTAACCTTCTTTAGGTCATGGCCCTTTTGAGATACTAGTAAGGCAAAGGACCCCCTTCCTACAGAAATGCACATAAATTTTTGCATATTTCAAAGAAGTCACAAATTCCACCTCTCCAATCTCATCAACTGTCTGCCCAAAGGTCCATAGATGTCCTCCACCCTCATATATACATTGTTAAGAGGACCTAAAAAAATGACCTATGTTTAGATTTGATGAGCTCTTTAGTGATTTGGGAATAGGAGTGACTGAACAGTAATAAAGAGGCTTATTTTCCAAATTGCATTATTTCACTATTCAAGGAAAGATTAGAGGTAATTAAGAGGCACCAAGATGCAGGCACCTTGCTGGTGTGGCTCAGTTGGTTAGAGCATCATACCATAAACCAAAAAGCTGCAGGTTCAATCCCTGGTCAGAATACATACTGAGGTTCTGGGTTTGATCCCTGGCCGGGGCACTTACAGAGGCAACCAATCAATGTTTCTCTCTCTCTCCCCACAACCCCACTACCAAACCCCCCCCCCCCGCAAAAACAAAAGCAATGAAAAAAATGTCCTCGCGTGAGAATTAAAAAACAACAGAAAACTGATGCAGGGGAGGGTGTGTTTCTGAATCAGTAAAACATTGGGTGCCCTTTCTTTCAAATTTCTAGTATCAGTCAAAGTAAAAAAAAAAGAAAAAAGAAAAAAGCAACACTCCAATACACTTTTCTTTTTTTTTTTCTTTTTTACTTACATTAAATACATCGGTAAATCAGCAGTCGCATTCTGTTACCACGATTGTTATGTTGGAAGAGGATGAAGGGGGGAAAAGGCAAATGCTTTCTCAGAAAAAAAGAGACCCCCCCAAAAAAAACTGATCGAAAAGGAAAAAATGAAGAGCTGGGAAATAAAAACAAAGATCCCCAAGCCCAACAGAGCTCAACAGAAAGCAGAGAGCTGGTAGGAAGTAGAAGGAAGGCAGCAGATAGGCCCAGAACCTAAGGCCAATCCTAAAGGGTGCGGGACGGGGGAGAAGCCTGGATAAATGGTTTCCCAGACCCAAGGCAATGAAACATTCTCACTCCTGCTCCATGGGGAAAGCTGCACAGAGAGAGAACTTCATTTCTAAGATTTAAGAGAGTTATCCTAATTCTTCCACTTAAAAGGATGCACTGGGTGCTCTTGGGGGCTTAGTGGGGTGCTGGAAGGCAAAAATGTATGTGTGTTTCAGGGCCACAGGAAATAAGGCTGCCCCTGGAAAAGGAAGGGAATTGAGGCCTAAGTGGAAGAACTTAAGCTGGGTCCTTCAGAATCTCAGCCTCATGGATTTCTCAGCTGCTCTGGGACAGAAGGAAGTCTGCAAGCCAAAACGGCAGAAACGTTCCAATCCTAGGTCACCAAAGCCCTCACTGAGGCCTTTCCATATTACTTCCCCCCAATTGTCCCAAAACTCTAGGCTGGAACAAGGAGCTTAGAATTCTCTACTGCCTTAATGGCTTCCCAAAGACGTCCTAAAATACCTGATGAGGGATCTGGAGAGAGGCTAGAGATTTAGAAAGGACCAACATCTTCTGGTGATGTGAGACAGTTGTGAGGGGACCTTCAGTGCCAGTCATTCTCTGTCCACAGGAACAGGTGTTATAAGGAGGCTAACAGTAGGTCTCTGCGGTACTAGCCCCTAGTGGTATTTGAATTAAACCACTGGTTGCATGGGGAATGAGTATGGGGATAAGCACAAAAGGACTAAACTGAAGATACTAACCAAGGGGAAAAGAAATAAGGCCTGATTGGGGCGCGGGGGGGCGGGGGGGGCGGGGCATGGGGCAGACAGAACAGACTGTACAGTGTGAATAAAGATCATACCTATTTACAGGGAAGTAGAAAACACATGGTAACAGGTGAATCAAATTGAACATGAACCTTGGGAAAGGAGAGAAAGCTCCTCCCTCTTGCCTTACTCCTCTTCACCCCCTTCCATGGCCTGTGCTATCCTGAGACCGCTCTCCAGTTGCTTCAGTTAATTCCCTAGGAAAGGCAAACCTATACCCAAGAGCTAGGCTGGCAAGAATATAGGTTAAGAATCAGAGCTGGAGGAAGCTAGCAGTGGAGATTGGGCTTGAGTAGCTGCCACTGATACTGTTCTCTACAGTCCCTCCCAAAACCTCATATACAACTTGGATTCCATTTAATTAAAAAAGTGAGAGGGCAAGTAAATCAATCAAAATCCCCATAAAACAAGTATCCCAGCTGAACTACCATCAATTAAAGTGCAAACTGCAGGGGGATACAGTGGCTGGGCCTGAGGCCATCTAAAGGCCAGAGAGAAAAAAATGCATATGTATAAATCAGAGGATGGATATCAGAAACTGGTCCCTCCTCCAATTAGATCACAGCAGAGCCAAAGATGCAGGCAACCAGTGAAGATTCTTTGGAGGACCCTGGGGTCTGGTGTCTCCCCCACTATGGGGGAGAAGCTACCTAAGAGACTGAGGGGAAACTAGGCCTTGGAAGAGTTCAAGAGCCATAGATGATACTGCATCTCCACCTCCTCCTCCACCTCTGCCCAGTTAGCTAACAACACAACTCTCATCTGGTGCCGGAGAGCTTGCCTTCCCATTCTTACTTTACCTAGAAACACCTTCCACAAGGCCAACTCATGGATACTGCAGTGTTTTCAAATGAGAAACTCCAACCAAATAAAACCAAAAAAGGACATTTCCTTACTCCCTTCTGCTCTGAGCCTTACTCTCCCCAGGGCCTTTAATGTGACTGAATTGGAAACCTTCTTCTTCAGTTCCTGGGTTCACCACCTTCTCCATCCTGGGGAGAGGTGGAAAAGGGGATCAAGAACAGGGTTGACCAAAAGCAGAAGGAGCAGGAGACCAAAAAGTGTTCTCTGAAAAAATGGGGAGGAGGAGGAAAGATAAGTAGGTCACTGTCTTGCACCTATAATACAAAGTGAAGAAAGTTTGTTTTGGAAGGTAAGTCCTGGGAGATCTGACCCCCAAGCCCCAGAGTAGGGGTAGGAGGTCAGCGGCAACAGCTGCCTGGTGTTGGTTGCTGAAGCGTTAAAAAGTGCCATGACGGAGCTGTCAGGAGGCAGCCCTTGGGAGCCAGGGCTCAGTGTGCTGTTACCGTAGGGGCTGTGTGCTGAGGGGTGGGAATGGAGATTATTTTTTAGCTCTCGTGCTAGCTCCATACTTGTTTGCTGCTAGCTGCCCCCTCAGTTGCTACAACACTGGCTCTTGTT